AGGTCCACCTGGGGGAAGATTGGAGTCCCTAAAAGTCCCTATATTGCCCAAATATAAGTGAAATTCAAGTTCAGCTGTGGAACCCTAGTTTCCTGGAATAGGTTTGTGCCTCTTTGTCCATCTGGGTGAAGTGTGGGTGCTGGGAGACCCAGATTCGGGATGTTTTCAGTTACTGCCAAGGCTGTTGCTAAGTGGATGTCCTTACCTCTGAAGAGGGGACAGATAATGGCTGTATACAGACCAGCATGTGACTTTGTGGGTCTTGATCATAGACACACTGTTGGAGTTCTTATCTATCTTAGTATAAACTGATTATTGAATCATCCATTTCAGAGCATTATTTGGTCTGGTTTTAGATAATAGGAATCTCTCTGGTAGTGTTTTGGATGACTTCACTGCTTCGTGGGTCCACAGGGGGGTGTTCTAAGAATCAGAAGTGTTGAAATAGAACTTCACTGACACGTTAGCAAAATTGGAGAATTGTTAGGCTGCCATATCAGTTGTTTTGCTCACTTTGCTTTTTTGTTTAACAAACCCCAGGAGTAAGGCTTCTAACTCATAAATCTTTGGAGATCTCTGTGTTAGAAATGTCTTGTGTTTATGCTGTGAATCTGGAGAAATTCAAAGGAATTTTCATATGGTGCCTTTCCATGAAGAGAGTAAGGTTTCCCATTTTCATAAAGTGGTTTACAGAGTTTGAGACAATACATAGTTTTTGCCTTGAAGATAATCCTTAGAGAACGGAGAAGCCTTCACCACAACAAGGTTCAGGGAAAACTGTCCTTGTTATTTCCTGGTGGTAATGTGGGCAAGGACATGCCTCCTAAGTGGGAGGTAGCAAGGTTATCTGTCCACTCAGAGGACTCATGCTCCTTAGAGTTGGCCTTGACTTTGGTCAAAATTGTGTTCAGATGTTCCAGAAAAACACTCAGAAAAGATCTGCTCTGAATTTCTTTATAAAATTATATCTAATATGTTTGTTGCAGTTCACAGATAACGTCAGAAGACTTAGTTAGGAATAGACGTGGTATAGAGCAGACCAATTAGTTCACCTCCATGTAGGGGAGGAATCCGTGTTGTATGAGGGCCAGTGTCTACATGCATGTAGGATGCAGCAAATTAGGTTTACCTGGGTTTTCTCACAACATCAGGAAGGCTGAACATTCAGCACGGTGTAAGACAAGCATGATTAGAGTAGGAACTCTTAAACTAGGCTCCATGGACCAGCATGTTGTCAAAGTATGGGTTTCAAGAGGTCACTGACACACCAGAAACTGCAGGTGAAAGTTTTTTAGGTCTGGGTTGTCAGTTTTTTAGGTCTGGTTGTTAAGTTCTTTCCCTGAAAGGATGACATCTTAAGACCAGAGGTGTAATTTCTAGTTTAATTAAATGGAGCCATTTTTGTTTCCATTTCTTCCAGCTCTTTTACTATGAGTTCCTTAACCTGGGTTAAAGGCTGCTTACCCTGGAGTTCATGGGTCCTGCAATGGATGTATTTTCCTGACACCGTATATAAAATTTTGTGTGAGATGGGGGTGTGTGTGTATGTATGTATGTGTGTGTGTGTGTGAGAGAGAGAGAAGAGGAGGAGAGGGAGAGGAGAAGGTTCATACCTACATTAAGTTCTCAAATGCTCTGTGACTCCAAGGACTTACAAAGAAGCCAGTGGATTTAGAGACTGACCATTTTTCCTTCTTTTGGGATGCATCCCCGTTAGCACCAGTAGCCTTCTCAGCTCACGTGTCCCCTACATTCAGTTCCTTATCCCTTATGAAGCCCATACACCAAGCTATTACCTGTATTTTTATGCATACACTTGAAATAGGATTGAGGGTCAACTCTTTAAATTACTCTTTGAGTTTCCAAGTTGGAAATCATTGGATACCATTTGTAGTATTTCTCCATGGGATATTTCTTTGCTAGTCTGCCTCAGTTCTGATTTTTAGACCATGATTGCTGGACAGTCTAATCATGGAAAACTACAGCAGGATGTCCTTAGGTTTGTAACTGTAGTCTATACTGAGCTATAATTGATCCTACAGATGAGTCTTCTTTTCTTTTCTTGTTTCAACCTGGGAGAAATTAGGTAACTTAGCCAGGATTTCTTTGAGGTATTCCGGGTATGTTCTCTCCACATTTCTGGGAGCTTTTATACCTTCATTCTTTGGTTGGTTGTTTTGGTTGTTCTTTATCTTCTCTTCAGCAAGATTTGCTCAAGTGGAGGGAAGGATAGAAGAGGAAGGTTGCTGAGGGATTAGGTGAGCGGGTGCTCACAGGACTCCATGTTCCTGCCAAATGATCTTTTTGAAAAAGTATTGGGTACTTTTAATTTCCCAATTGTAGTGTGAATTCTTTTTTGCCAAATAGCTTTTGGGGCTTTGCCTGGACCCTGTGTGCCAGAGTCAGAGATTCATCTTGGCCAGACACTGCCACATATTGAGGAGGGAGCCGTTTCCAGGAAAGCTCAGAGCTGTGCCTCTTAGAAATCATGCCTTGATTGTGCGAGCCAGGCCTTGACACTTTTGACCATCTGGAAAATTTTGGACATGAGCACCAATATCTGTCTCATACATCTTTTTCTTATTTCATAAGCTTTAAAAAAATTTCTTATTCATTTGAGATATATACTTACTGGATATGCAAAACTTTTGCATATCCATGAGCTCCAACAAGAATTGCATGCCTGAGGGCTGCAAAGAAAATCATCAGAAAATGAGTTGATGTACTTTCTGCAGGCATACGTTGCTATTCTTTGTGCTTTGATGGTGCTCAACAAACAGTTTGGGAATTGAATAAATAGGGAAACCTTTTACTGCCATGTGCTATTAGTGAAAGAGCATTGCTTTGCAGCTTTCAGGTAGTCTTGAACGTGTCATGATTTCATCCTCCTTTCTTCACTCTCCATAGTGTGTGCTCTCCATAGCATGCGTCTCTCTGTCCAGTTAATGCCGCAGTGTGACTCTGTGCCTCTGCACTCTTTCTACAGCCTCTTTTGTTTTTAGTGGCTATCAATCTGTGCACTTCTTGATGCATGCAGCATCTCCAAAGGATGCTGTGATTACAGTCTATACAACCAAGGAACATGTTATTTTGCTGTAGCTATAATTGACATCACTGTTCATTTAGTCCTTTGACTTAGCATGGTGCTGATGCCAAATATAAAAATGATCCTAGCTCTTTGTAGAGATAGCTCATGACAGGTTGAGTATTGCTTATGTTTTTGTTATTTGTCTACTACTTAACTAGCTAAATCCCTTTGATTTAATCTTCAGCCATTTTTACCTTTTAGGTAACATGTAAATTTATGAATTTCCTATGACAAATCAGTCAATATTTATTCGTGTGTGCACTGTTAAGCATAGTATTAAATGTAAGACATATCTTTGTCTACAGTCTATTTTGGCAATTAAGATATGCACACTCAATAGGTAATGAATAAGATGCTATTATATACTACAGCACAAATCATTTATAGAATAAAGTACTTTTGTGGCTTAGAAAAGCAGAGAATTAAAACATTCTGTTAGCACTTACTGAATGCCTACCATGTGCTAAAGCATGGATTTTGAAAGATAACTAAAGGTTAGTGCTTATTTATCAATGACCTGAGAGTATACTGTAATAAGTGACATGGGTCATAAGCAGTCTCTCTACAAAAAAAGGTAGGAATATGTTGAGATCAAAGTGGGCCAGCAGCCACTTGGAAAAGTAAAGTCATCCAGCTTTTAGAGCTATATCCCTGATGAATGTGTAGGCTCAGATCATAGATCTAGACCTGCGGTCCCCAACCCCTGGGCCACAACCGGGTACTGGTCTGTGGCCTGTTAAGAAATGGGCCACACATTACTGCCTGAGCTCCATCCCCATCTCTCATGACCTCCTAATCCCACCCCACCCTGTCTGTGGAAAAACTGTCCTCCATGAAACCAGCCCCTGGTGAGAAAAAGGTTGGGGACCACTGAATCTAGACCATTTGATCCTTTTAAGGATTATGGCTGAGATGTACTATTATTCCCAATGTGTCATTTGGTCTGTATCTTTCTAGCCTAAGTCCTTTTGTCCTTTCCCTCCCTTATTACTTTATGGTGATCTTTGGCAAGTTCACCCTGTTTAAATGTGTGATTCTAGGGTCTTACCTCACCCCCCTGTACAGAAAGCCAGGGTGGGACAGGTTTATAGGAAAGCATCTAGGGAGGGTTTCTTGGTGTGTCCTTTGGCTCTCCTGTGTTCATGTTGACCAACCTTGGCTTGTGTGTTCCAAGAGGATGTTGTTGAGTCCACGTTTTTCCATCTCTGCTCACAGGTGCCTTTTGGTGATGCTAATGACAGCAGTGGTAATCTGCAGTAGTCCTTGATCTGCTGGCAAAAGTGGCCACAGTTTTCCTATCCGGCTCATAGTTTTCTTCCCTGTTTTTTTATTTTTTTATTTTTTGGATGGTTTTTATTCTGTGCATTCTCTATGCTTCATTTCTTTGGAAAAGCCCTTCAAGCAAATAGCTGGGATGATGAAAGCACTGGCAGCTCCCCTTGGCAGCCCCTTTCTCTTAGCTTTCGGCACTTTTCTTTGGCAGAACTTGCTTAACTTTATAGAGGTTGGAGCTTACCTGGAGGAGAAGAAAGTTGTTTCTCCGGAGATTCAGAGGGATGACCCACCCCCAGGGGGTTCTGGTCTCCAATTTTAAGCTTTGTCATTTGGCTTAAAGGAAAAGGCAGTCCTGAGGGAAGGTAACTTTTATTCTAGGCTTGCAAATTTGGGGGGGGGAGGGGCGTGTTCTGTTTATTTGTGTTCTTTTACTAGGAGCTAAATCATGTTCTGGTTGAGATTAGTGTAGTTTGAACCATAGTCATTTTGTAGAAAATGGTCAAATATTGGCAGAATCTGAACTAGCTTATAGCTTGTTTCTGTTAATAGTTGTGAAAAAGTATTCTAGATGCTTCTCTGAGTGATTTTCATGGAAAGCCAATGCTAAGATTTCTCTCCTCTTTTCGTTGCGTCCTAGGTCACTCTGCACCTGAACCCCATCTCCTCGGTCCACATTCACCACAAGCCTGTCGTGTTCCTTCTCAACTCCCCGCAGCCCCTGCTCTGGCATCTGAAGACGGAGAGACTTGCCACCGGAGTCTCTAGACTTTTCTTGGTAAGCGTTTAAAACCTTCCCAAACTGATCCTGAGCACAAAGGTATAGTGGCCCTAAAACTTTGCAAGGAAAGGCTTGCTTTTGTTGAACTAATAGCAGTGTCCAAAGAGTGTCACATCTGGAGTGTGCACATAGTGATATCTGGATGGCATAGATAAGCATTCACAGAAAACAAACACCACCCACATGTCTTCCTCTGTGGATGGGGAGTCAGGTCTAGCTTGCACGTTAGAGCAGGCCTGTAGTCATACTCTGTGTGGCCTGAGCTTTTGTTTCAGCTCTGAGACTGTCATCAGGAGCACTGTAAATATTGTAAATAGCCACCAAGTGTGTGGTCTCTGACCACAAAATAAATATGCACAAACCCATTCTATTGTATATAACATAGTCCTAATTTCTGATATGAGGATCTGTTTGTTGAGAGAGTGACATAGTGAACTCCAAAATGAAATCATTTGTATTTTATTTTTAAAAAGCTGGAACCCAGCTCTCGTGGAAAGATCCAAATATTACCTACTATTTGTAAATCATGTCCTTTTGAGTTTGCCAGAACATTCAAGTTTGCTAGTTGTGGAGAAATAGATGGGTTGTTTGGATGGAATATTTTTGGTATGATATCATGTCTGATGATGAGCAACACTGCAACTTGGTGGCGATAACTCATATTGTCTATTGCGAGAGCTACATGCTAGTAATGTCCTCCTCGCTGCAGAGCCTGAGGCTTTTAAACTTCTCTTGCCCACAGCATCCAAAACAAGTAGAGTCCTCAATTAATAGTTTTCCTCTTGCCTAATAAATAAACTTTGCCTAATTAATGACTCTTAATCCAGACCTGTAGTTTCTCGTCACCTGTGTTTGAAGAGTCGTTTTAAAAACTCAAATTACCCATTGAATAAAGTAAGAATCTATAGTCTTTACGGTTAATAAGTAGATGAATAAATGAGTAAAAAAGGGAAATCTCTTTTTTATAGTAGAATGTCAATAATACAGAAGGAATGAGAGTTAGAAAATCATTTTGTCACCATCATAGTAAAAGTTGATCAGGCAAGAATTATCAACAGATGCTAAATCTAGCAGAGGTGGAAGGAATTCGAGGAACAGTGTATTTAGATATTCTCAAGATAGCTTTTCCACAAATTACTTATTAATTAGAAAAGAAAAAAATAGTAGCTCTATAGAGCAGAGATACCCAACAATACCCAAGTGATCAAAATTCACGTTACCAATATGGGGCAGAGGGACGTTTGGTGCCTGTAAATGAGAAACAGCGTCACTTACGTAGTATTCTAGCTGGAAATGCATGTCACCTGAATCTAATCATAAGGCAACACAGGACAAAACCAAGCGAGTGACAGCCTGTAAAATAACTGGCCCATACTCTTCAAATATGTCAGTGAAGACAGTGAAGGGCTAGAAGCTGTTCCAGATTAAAGGAGACTGAAAAGACACATGAGATCCCGAGCTGCAGCCTGTTTGGTGGGGGTGGGGCAGCTGCTACAAAGGATGTTATGGGGAAAGTGGACGAAAGTAGAATTGAGCCTGTAGATTAAAGTATTGCACCAATGTTATATTTCTTGACTTTGATAATTACACTGTAGTTATCTAAGTGAACATCCTTTTTAGGAAATACAGTAAATACACTTAATGTTAAGGATTAAAGTGTCAAATCAGGAAAAAATATGATGTATGGAGGGAATAAAAGCAAATGTGGTAAGATGTTAAAGACTGATGAGTCTAGTTAAAGGGTGTGCTAGAGTCCTTTTACTGCCAACTTTGCTGCACACTTGAAATAATTTCAAAATAAAACATTTAAAAACTCAAAAGGTACATTTTTATATGGTAGGAGTAACTAATAAATTATAGCCTTTTCTGAGGATTGAAACTCTTACTACCTCTACATTAAAAAGGCCAAAAATTGGTAATTATTTAGTTGTTGTTGTTATTATTACTAACATGTTTATTTAGCCTTAGTACATTCTAGGTGTGCACTAAATGCTCTAATATTTTATCTCCTTTAATTCTCACAATAACCTTAGACAATGGTGTTTACCTCTCCTTATAGGTAGGGAACTAAGACTTAGGTTAAGTAGTGGCCCAAATCACAGGACTAGTTACTGGCAGAGCTGAGACTCAAACCCAGATAGGACTTACTCTGTAACTATTATAGAGACTCAAACCCAGATAGGACTTACTCTGTAACTATTATAAACTGGGTCCCTTCATATTCATAATCATTGTCAGTCTCCTCTCATTAAGGTTATTTGTGGTAGTAAGATGAATGGCTGAGATCATAAGGTCATTATGCACATTAGCCCTCATGCTGTAGAGCTGTACTGTCTAATACTGTAAGAACTAGCTATGCCTGGCTATTTAGATTAACCAAAATTTAAAAGTCAGTTTCTCAGTCATGCTGAGCCACATTTCAGGTGCTCAGTAACTACGTGGAAGTGATGATTATCACAATAGACCAGTTATGGAGTGGTTATGAGTGAAGGCTTTTGCCTATGCTGGTTTTAATCTAAGTAGTAACCTTGGGCAAACACAATTTCTCTAAGCCTGATTTTTCTCACTTGTAATATAGGAATAATAATAGCCCCTACACTGTAGGGTTGTTGTCTTGATTAAATTATATTGCAGCCAGGTGCAGTGGCTTATACCTGCAATCCCAGCTACTCAGGAGGCTGAGGTGGGAGGATCGCTTGAGCCCTGGAATTTGATGCTGCAGTGAGCTATGATTGTGCCACCACATCCTAGCCTGGGTAGCAAAGCAAGACCCCTATCTCAAAAACAAACAAAAAATAAATAAGAGTATATATCAAATGTTTTGTTCCATGCCTGGCACTGATAAAATCCTAGACACTATGATACCATTGCTGCTGTTATTTATTATTAGTCATAATGAAGACCAGTTGGGAAGGATGTTGAATTTACATTAGTAATTATAAAATATCTAGCTTGGTTGGCCCCAGGTTGAAAGGAATTCCAATTTTTCTGGTCCAGATGAAAAGTGGGGCCATATATGTTGCAGTTGTACTTACCACTTTCTGAATCCCTTCTTCAGTCTGCCATTCCACTGCTTTTAAGGGAAGGCATCTTATTCCTAGTTATTATTTGCTTTAATTTTGTGTAAGATCTCTAAGAACTGCTCCTTGGCCATCAGTTTAAGACACACCAACAATGAAAAAAAGGAGACAGCTTTAGTAAACAATTTAACATTGATCCTCTTTGGATTAATCCTGTGTAAGGAGATTGCAGATCAAGTGATGAACCTAAAACTGCCGACATGGGAGAGGAAGCACCAGGAGAAGTCAAGGACTTAAATTCCAGGACACCTGAACTCTGCTTTGCTGTCCAGCAGGCTTCCTTTAGGGAAAAATGGTTCCCCCCTTTTGCGCCCTGCACATTTCTTCAGGGCCTGGAAGAGATGGTGGAACATCTGTTGTTCATTCAGGTTCGCACATCAGTAGACAACGAGTGATGCAAGTTCTCTCACCAGCTGGGCAGCTCTCCCCTTCCTCTCTGTGGCCTCAAATGGACTTCAGCGTCTGCTCATCTGCTTGACAGCCTTTGCAACAGAGGGACCAGAGATGGATGGAAAACCAGTACTGTGTTCTGTTTATCTGCTTATTGTTAGGGGTGAAAGTTTGCGGGAGTCAGAGGGGTGTAAAATAACTAAATTATTTTACGTAAAGTATTTCATCAAACACTTCAGTGGAATCTCTGGAAGCTCAGGCTTAGCTTGTCTTCTCCAAGGTTACCCAGAGAGCTTAGAGGAGCTGAGGAGAAAGAGTGGGTCTCCTGACGCTTCAGTCCAAGATGCATGTGTCTTGTCTTCTTCCCTGATATGCTGCCGAAGGATTTGCATTACTGTCTCAAAGCCGTTGTTACTTTCTAGGTAGAATTATAATACTTGTACAGTTTATTATTTTAAAAAATGTATAGAGTGATGAGAAAAATTCACTTAATGGCATTCACTCATTTGTCAGGGTGGCCTTTTAATTTAGATTGACATGTCTGCTTTGTTGTAACTGCCCACATTAAAAAAGGAAAACTTTCACAGTTAGTTAGGAGGGCCTTGTGTTACTCAGAACATCTCTCAGCCACCCATAAGGGTGATTAAAAAGACATGACACTTTAATACTGTCTCATAAAGGTGTCTTGTCTTTTCCTGTCAGATCATTTCAGTGTCCTTCTCATGATTCCATAGCACAGGCAAGAGGGAGCACGTCAGGCAGGGAGAAAGTGTGATGATTTAGTTTTCTGTGCAGGTGCAGTTCCTTTATCTGGTGGTGGTGGTTACCCAGGAAATGGGAGTGGAATGAAGAGTGATTGTTTCAGGCGGGGTTTCAAGTAGCGGATCTTTGAGTGTGAGTCACACACATACACACACATGATGAAGCTGCCATAGCCTTATCGTTTGCCTTTGGCAGGATGTATGGCCCAGATGATACCAAGTAGGTAAGAGTTGTCTCTCAATGCAATCAGAAATAAAAATATTATAATAGTCCTACCCTCTCAGTGTATGGTGTTGAAACTATAAACAGAAATCTCTTAGAAGGTTCATGTAAGGCTATTTTATTTATGAAATCATTTCTACACTGAAGAAAAAAGTAGAGTAACTCAACTGGGCAATAGATGTCTGAACTTTCTACCTGGGTTTGCAAAAAAGATTGGTAAGAGCCACAACATTAAGTTGTCTTTAAATGAATAGACATTTCTCCAAAGAAAAGACACAAATGGCCAAAAAGAACATGAAAAGATGCTCAATATTATTAATTAGAGAATTGCTAATCAAAACTGCAATGAGATGGCACTTCACACTCATTAGGATGACCATAATATAAAAGGTAGATAACAAGTGTTGACAGGGATGTAGGGAACTTACAACACTCATACATTGCTGATGAGAATGTAAAACAGTTCTTTGGGAAATAATTAGGCGAAACACATCCACAAAAACTTGTCCACAAATGTTCAAAGCAGCATTATTTGTAATAGCT